TTCATTGTRCTGTTTCCCYTCAGCCTGTGTGGTTATCTTCGTGTTCCTGTTCTCCTTGAGAATTTTGTAGATTTTGAGCTGCCTCGTCAGCRTTTTSAGTTTATTATTAAAGTTTTTGTTACCTTTTTGAGCCTGCCTGCGCCCTGAGTCTCTTCCTGCCTGAAACCTCACAGATGAACAGACARTGAACAGACCAAGTAACCCAGCCTGCAGACAATTTTTGTTTTTTATATTACAATTTTTTCTGCACCTCGCTGCTCCCAGGAGGTCCAGCACTCCTCCACTGGACCTCCTCCACTGTCACAGTCATCCACCTTCCGTTGGGGATCTCCTCCATCACCTGAGTCTCCCTCAGCTAGTTCTCCTCCCTCTCCCTTGGAGGAGCCGGTCCCATCTCTGCCACCGTGGTAGGACGAGGTGACAAGCCCTCTGATCAGTGGATCGCTGATGATCCTCCAGTGGTCCTCCACCTCTGCGGCAAAACAACTCCTCTGCCCRCAGATCAAGGATGTCATGGCAAGGTGTTCCGATCTGCTGCTGCTGCCCGGCCACTGGAGGGTCAGCGACTATGCTCGGCGGATCCTGGCCGAGTGTCCTGAAACCCACCCTGCCACCCCTGTTTTGTTGTTGAGGGTTCCTGTGGCCGAACAGGTGGTTCCTGYTCCTGAGTCTACTGGGTCTTCTAGRTCTTCTGAGTCTACTGGGTCATCTGAATCTGTTCCTGAGTTTCCTAAGTTGGTGGTTCCAGTTCCTGAGTTGGTGGTTCCACAGTCAGTGGCCTCGGTGGTCCCAGAGTTGGTGGTCCCGGTGGCTCCACAGTCGGTGGTCTCTGTGGTTCCAGAGTTGGTGGTCTCGGTGGTTCCAGAGTCCATGGTCCCAGTGCTTCCTGAGATGGCGGTCCCAGTGTCTCCTAAGTTGGCGAGTCCCGAGTTGGCGGTCCTTGAGGTTTGTGGGTCGGCTTCCGGCGCCTCCACGACATCTGGGTCGGCTGCTGTCGCCTCCTCTTCACCTGAGTCATCGTCTGTCGCCTCCTCTTCTCCTGGGTTGTCACCCATCGCCTCCGCTTCACCTGGATCATTGTCTGGGTCATCGCCCAGCACCTCCTCATCGTCTCTGTCACCTGCATTCATCGTCGTTGACACTCTGGCTCTGTCAACCTTCGCCGGCTCTTCGTCTGCTCCCATCTCTCTTGGCTCCACGTCTGCCCCTGCTGGGCCTCGCTTTAGATGGTCTCCTGGCCATCCTCCGGCTCTTCTGCTCTGTGTGGGGTGGTTTCCTGGCCATCCCCCTGAACTCTGTGTGTTTTTGTCTTTGAGTATGTGTTGTCGTGTGTTTCCCTGAGTCTCATCCATCTCCCTTTTTCGACGTCAGGAGCCGTCGTTGAGGGGAGGGTCCTGTCACAGTMTGTTTGTTTTCTTTGTTTTTCTAGTGTTTCAGTGTTCCCCTGTGTTTCTCTGCCCTGCAGCCTCACCCATGCTCACCTGTTTCCTCTTGTGTCTTCTCCAGATGTTTCTTGTTGACCCTAATTAGTTTCCCTTTATATTCAGCATCTTGTGACGCTGTCTTGTCTTTGTCCGTTCATTGTACTGTTTCCCCTCAGCCTGTGTGGTTATCTTCATGTTCCTATTCTCCTTGAGATTTTTGTAGGTTTTGAGCTGCCTCGTCAGCATTTTGAGTTTATTATTAAAGCTTTTGTTGCCTTTTTGAGCCTGGCTGCACCCTGGGTCTTTTGACCTCACAGCTTTCAAAAGGATGTCTTTGTTGGTGCAGCTACTTTAACAGAAGGAAACTTCAGTTTAGCTGCACATGCAAACATAGACATTGACCTGTTATAAATTTACTTTTCTAACAACATGATGTTGAATTTAGCTGGAGGAAAAKAGTTTGTACACCTGAGGGACAGTCAGTATGTTGGTTTGAAGCATCAGTACATAACTTTAAATCATAGTGCACTGAAGCTGATTTTAATCCAGTTTTTAAATGACAGAACTGTTTTATATTGATTTTATTTACTGTAAGTGTTWTTACACAGTTATTTTCACAATATTAGTGTCATGGTCTGTGTCTTTTCTACCTTAGTTTTCCAGTGTTTCCCTGTGTCTCTGCTCTACTGTCATCCCTCCAGCCCCGCCTATGCTCACCTGTTTCCTCTTTTGTCTCCATCAGGTGTTCCTCAATTTCTCTCATTAGTTTCCTTTTATATTTGGTGTCCTGTCCTCATTCTGTGTCTGATCATTGTGTTGTTACCAGCCAGTGTGGTGTCATCTGTGTTCCWCGTGCTGTTTTTCCCCTGAGATCCTGTAAGTCTTTTTGAGCTGCCTTGCCAGCCTTTTGGTTTATTTTTGCCTTTTTGAACTTTTGCCTGCGCCCTGGGTCGTTCTGCCTGCACACCTCACAATCAGATGGCTATCCACAAGTGCAAATATTAGCAGAAGCAGCTAGCTGTAGCTCTTTTAGTGCAGGCACTACACTACCTGGATAATCTACAAAAGGTGAGATAGTATCCCTTCAGAAGGGCTGAAATGTCACTTTAAAGCAGTGATTCCCAAAGTTGGAGTCAGGAAATCTCTTTGTGTCATGAAAACCTCAAGTGAAGGGGTCCCCGAATGATTTCTAGACATCAATTTAAATGCAAATACAGTAAACTGCTTATTGAATATTTCCACTATAATTATTGTGAAATAAATACTATAAGAATAATAAATGACAGCACGGTGGCTCAGTTGGTAGAGCTGATGCCTCTCAGCAAGAAGGTTGCCAAATCAAATCCCGGCCAGGGACCTTTCTGAGTAAAGTTTGCATGTTCTCTCTGTGCATGTGTGGGTTTTCTCCGGGTGCTCCAGTTTCCTCCCAAGGACCAAAAACATGACTGTTAGGTTAATTGGTAACTCTAAATCAGGGCAATTCAACTAAATTGCTCCGGGGACCACAGTTACTGCCGGTCAACAGCTGAGGGGCCAAACATCCAGCATTTAAAGTTATTATG